CTAAGAAAAGAGACCATATATTAGGAAGCCGATTCGTTTCGTTTCGCATACAGAAGTTCAGTATTTTTTTTTTCAACTAACATCGTGGAATTGGATTTTTTGGTAAAAGATCTAAAACACGGAGGGTCGACTCGTGGGTTCGAATCCCATCTGGGGCTCAAATTTTCTGTTTCCTCTTACGTTTGATTCTTTATATCTTCCTTTATTCGCTTTGTTAAAATTAAAAAATTGTTGGTACCACAAAATGTAGACTGATTACAGAGCGTATTCACTCACGTGGAGAGCATCTATGCTAATTTCATGAACAAAAGAAAGTTTGTACCTAAGAAAAAGAGTCCAATTCCCACAGGATTGTCTTGGTACACCAACATGGCCACCGTTTCATTGTTTTGGAACACCAATATGGCCGCCGTGACGTCATGTGAATACGCTCTATAGGCAAATCCTTGCTGACATCATTGTTTATGTTTTTCCTCATTAGCGTACGACTTAAATCATAGAAGCTGTAGCCGTATATATGAACTAAATGCAAAAGTTGAAAGAGCTGATTAAGTTGAGAAATTTGTGCAATTTTCAGCTCTTTGCAAGCAATATTGAAGGAAATATCAGCTATCAAAACTGCGAAATTTCTGGGTGGCAAAAAAGTTAATGAGCCATACATTCTCTGTAAAATTTCAAGTTTTTAGAAGAGAATTTCTCCGAAACCATTCGGTGCATTGGGGTCAAATTTTCAGAGATAACTGAAACTGTTATGCTCCTTCAATATTCAGAGTTTTTATTTTATTAGCGTCATCAGATAGTGATAAGCATAATATGTTAATGAGGCAAAAAATTTAAACAAAGATTCGCCCAGATCCAATCTTCACATTCTTGTAAAGTCCCTGGTCAGGGGCACATTACCGTCAAGGCCAAATAAGGGAGTGCACCCCTTCCGGGAAACACCTGCGGAACAACGAATTCTAAATAATCTATGACTCGAAAAAAAAAAACAGACAAACAAACACTAGCTGGAAAAGCACTAAAACCAAGAATATTTTTCTTTTTAATCAAAGACAAAATATCAAAGTAAAAGCAAACAAGACGAATCAAAATAGGTGAATTTTATAAGTAATACTCCTCGAATACGGTAGATCTCAAATAGGCAAGATATTTATTTGGAAGATATTTTATTTTTGGTTTATTTTTTTTATGACTTCAGTAGCCGCTCTTTCAGCTATATTCAGGGAGAAAAAGCTATTAAGTATTCGTATAAAGGCAACGGACTACTTTCATAACATCTTCAGAAGTCGTTTATCTGACACAATCTCCTATTTCCAGTTACAGATTAAAGATCTTTATTGATATTTTAGGTTTTTATTTGGTTTTTCAATTATCTCTTGCCTAATTTTTTTAATTAAGGGTGATCGGGGGGCAGGGGTGATGACCCGTCAGGGGGCTGTTCCAGGGTATTCCGAGTTGTCCTGAGGGTGTTCCGGGGTGTTCAGAACGTGTTCGGGGGTGTTCCGGGTCTATTCCCAGTTTTACAGACACCCAAAAATTCGAGTTGCAAATTTTGAAATGCACACAACTCGGATTTTTGCGGTAAAAATTCGAGTTGCAAATTTTGAAATGCTAACAACTCGAATTTTTGCGGTAAAAATTCAGTTGCAAGTTTTGAAATGCAGACAACTCGGATTTTTGCGGTAAAATCCGAGTTGCAAATTCTGAAATGCACACCTCTAGGAATTTTGTCGTAAAAATTCGAGTTACTAATTTTGAAATCGCACAACTCGGATTTCCACGATGAAAATCGGAGTTGCAAATGTAAACTGTAAAAAAATATATCGATGTCCTATATGAGCCACGGTAATTCTAGCTTAAAATGTGGTCCAGTCTGAAAAAACTGCATTGACTAGAAGTTACTTCGATCCATCATAGCAGAAAGGTAAATTTCCCACTGCTTAATTAAATATGCGTGAACAGGTCAGAAAATATTTGACTTGTACTTCGCCCCATGTAAGGGTATCCGGTTTCCGGAAACTGGAAAATTTTTGCTTGTAGGATCCAGAATCCGGGAAAATTGTGATATGGAATCCGGGATCCAGGGCTTTGGAATCCAGAATACAGCTCAAGTACCCCAATAAGGAATGGAATCTAGAATCCAAGTTCCACTGGAAAAGACTTGAATACAGCACCCGGAATCCAGAATCCATGGAATGGTATCCAAAATCCAAGACTGTCTTGTATTCGCTATGATGGGGCGATAGTACTGGACTGTGAACGGCGAATTACTATTTTCCCTTCATTTACCTTCCACCCAACGGGGCAGGGCAAGGGGGTGGTGTGGGCAGTTTCATCAATTTGCATCTTCCTTTAAGCAAATCAAAATTAGAGACTTATTCGTTAATTATTTGGGTAAGACTAATCTGCAGAACTGCAGACCGCAGAACCTGTAGAACCGGTGGAACCTACTCTGTACTCTCATCGAACATAGAAATGATATCAAAATGTTCAAAACTCGAGTGGAACCATGAGCCGCAGGAGAGTGGTTTCATTGTAAAGTTTTGAACATTAATTTAAAAATTTAATTTGATGTCATTTCTATGGTCGATAAGAGTGCAGACCATGGAAAAATGTTGTCGATCGATTTGTTCTTTACAATAACATTGACAGTTTTTGTCGTCCATTTCGGTTGACTTTTTGTGGAAAATTGCCTGTGGGAAAGAAAAAAACAAACTGTGACACCATCACTTAACTTCCATGGTCTGTACTGTTATCGACAATACTTCTCGACCAATCAGCGGGCAAGATAGTTATTGTAAAAAAATAATTGTAACTAATATTGTTTTATCACGTTAGCCAAGGGTAGTTGTCATTTCTGAAGGTTCCGTGGGTTCCGCCGGTTCCACAGGTTCCACGGTTCCATGGTCTGCAGTTCCACAGATTAGTCTTACCCTAATGATTTTACTTTTTGGTTAGAGGCTCAACCTACATGTAACAATGTGTCATTTTGAACATTGGGTGATTTAAAGAACGAAAATTAATAAAATTATGCAATGTAATGCTTCAAACAAATCTTTGCTCTAGTGGTTGTGCCACGTTGTAAGATTAAATTATCAGTAAATAATGCCGAGTTCTGCTTTGATTTCTTAGATTGACTGATCAACAATTTCCAGAGTGGTTCTTTCAATTCAATTAACTGTTTGACCAACTGACTCAGTAATTGACTAATAAATTGTTTGACTGTCTGGCAGATTTTCTGACTAACTGGCTAATTGACTGACTGCCTAACTGTCTGTTTAACTTACTGATTGATTTACTCATTTTCACAGGTAATAACTGAGAGACTGACTGACTGTTTGACTAACTGATTAGCTGACTTGTCTTATTTCCTGACCTACTGACTGACCAACTCACTGTTGACACTGTTGACTTACTTGTTGACTGTCTGTCTCATTCACTGCCCAGATCTTTAGTTTGCTGATTGACTGACTCATTGACAGAATGACTGACCTGTTGACTGACTGTTTTACTGACTTATAGACTGACTGAGTGACTTTCTAATTGACTCACTAACTAATAAATGACTGACAAACTGGCTGACCTGCCAACTGAATGACCTACTAACCGACTGACTGGCTAACTTACTGAGTGGCTCAGGTACTGAGTGTGTGACTGGCTTATTGATTGACTGGCTGACTTGCTGATTGACTAACCTGATCAGCTGACTGACTAATTGACTGGCTGACTTGCTGACGGACTTACCAACTAATTGGCTGGCTGACTGGCTCAATTACTTACTTACGGACAGTGTTACAGAAAGACTGATTGACTGACTCAGGCTGGCATATTGACTAATTGACTTGACTGGTTTTCTGATGTACTCCAATGAAATTTTTAAGCTAAGGTATGGACCATTAGAAAAGTGATTGGCGGGGGGGGGGGGGTTGTTTTCAAAAGTGAAAAGAAATTTTTTTCGCCAGGAAATTATTAATAAATAAAATATATTTCTACAGAATTTGGCCAGAAAAAAATTATCTTCAACGAGGATCTGTGCAGGTAAGACTATGACAGATCAACTGTGAAGTGAATGACAAGCCCAGAGTGGAAATAAAACTTCATTTTCTTAGTCTCAACATGACTCATGAGTAAATGTTGTTAAGGACTACCTTGATTGTATGATAAAAAGAAGCGCCTTGTAGTACTGTTTACCTCAGATGGCTGCTTTATACACCACCAGTTGGCAAGATTTTGTAAAGTAAACTTGTCGAACGCGAAAAAATCAGCCTGATTTTTTATTTCGGTCTCCCTTTTAGATAGAGGAATGCAACCTATAAATTACAACCTGTCAGTATTGGCTGTCGCCGTGTCTATCGTGTCTTCTAACAGGCCTGTATAGCGTAAGGTTAAATTTCGGTGCTGTCCAATTAACCTTATAAAATAAAGGTGGTGTAGGTGGGCGACTGGCTTATTGCGTTTGGGAAGAATTTGTTTTCCAGGCCTAATCTACTGTGATCTCAAGAGCCGTTATGCTCTTGAATGTGACCGAAGATGATTGCTGTTTTTTGGGTGTACATATAAGACTATTAACTCGATGTAAGATTTGTTTCACTCTTGGACTGTTTTCAAATTATGTTTCCCTAAAATCACTTAGCCTTTCCCTCAAAAGTCACATGAATATGCCCTAAAGTTAACTGATTAGTTAAAAATCAAAAAGTGCTACAGTTTATTGTTTGATTTAAATTATAAATTTATTAATGGGAGCTTCGCTTTTAGACTTGGATAAAATTATATAATGCTGAAGTGAAGCACTTGTTATCGTTAACTGTACTAGCTACGTTCACTACAGTCAACGCACCAAAACAGCCTCCATAATGTCAGAAGCTTAGGTATATTTAACTGAAAGTTACTGAGTAGCGATAAAAAGTGTCCTTCATTCCTAATTAACTCTAGACTGAGTAATCTGAAAACTAGCCCTACGTTAACAGAGTGACACGTCAGGTCGACTCACTTTGGAGTCATCACAAGAGAGTGTCGAGAGTTTCGCTGGTGCTGGGGCATTGATCATTGTAACATTCCTGGCTCTCATCTAACAGTGTAAAATCATAATATGGGGTATCAGCTGTCATCATTTGTTCAAGGGTTGGTATCATTTCGGTGAATGAGGGTCGTTCATTCGGATCATCCCTCCAGCAGTCCAGCATTAACTTGTATCTGTCGAGAAAAAATTATGCTGGTTTATGCTTTGTTCAAGTTGGCCAATTATGACGCTAGCCAAAATTGTCGTCAAGCTACGACACATAACTCTTTTTGAACTCTGATGATCACTGTTGTCGAATAGGCAATCACCGTTAACAACAATCTTTTCCATAACACACTCACCTGAATGATCACGTTTCACCTAGTTACTAGACGAATAATGGGTTCAAGCTATTTACACTGCCATGTTTTGCCGAGAGAGATTACCTAAGATTTGGTTTTTACTTCAGCAAAACGAAATTTCCCTTGTGAGTAGTATAGAAGGGATGAAATTATCCATTTTAAAGCGGAACATTAGCAGGTAGTTCTTAACGTTTATGACGTCGAAGAAACGTTAATGAGTTAAGCCTGGTTCTTTCCTACCTCCGATCTACTTGCGTTGGCGTTATACTCGCCAGTTGCACCGATTTTTTTGTCGCAATCAAGTCGCATGAGTGCCTGCCAGAGAGTCATGATTGTCATGATAAAGTCAATCGAAGTATTTAACAGTTATTCCTCTCGCCCTCATGGGCTCTGAGTCAATAGCCCATGAGGCCGAAGGCTGAATGGGCTATTGACTCAGAGTCCATGAGGGCGAGAGGAATGATTGTTTTAGTAAAATCCAACTAATTGGTCAAAAATGTCAAGAATAAAAAAGTTTTAGCTACTTAAAGATAGAATTTAACCCTTATTTGCCGCCAAAAAGCCGGCGCTTTTCGCTACTAGTGGGCTATAACATATAGCCTAGCAGTAGCTCAACCAATCGGAACGCAGCATTGATAATGGACCACTAGTTGGATTTTATTACATTGTACTATACCCCTGGCGTTTCACCGATGAACTGAAAGAAGTGACCGAAAAAGCGGCCTTGTTATGAACGGTTTAAAGATGATCATGCCTATAGCTTAACAATGTTGTTTTTAAAAGATATTGTGTTTCTTGTTTCGTACATCTATTTTGCGAGTCATTTACAATAAGTTTACTTACATTTCATCACTGCAAGTGTTTGGTTGTTCCATGCGATACCCCTTCTTAAGGAGATTGTACAACTGGGCATGGTTGATTCTGGGGTAAGGAGTTCCCCCTAAAGTGTTCAATTTAAATATCATTGGGGAAGGTTTAGAGAACTTTTAAGCTAACATTACGTCTGTCAAGAGCTGTTAGTTATTGTGGCGCGTGACCATTGACTCACAACGTTGATAGTGATCTTGTACCCAGATCTCTCGTCGACGAAGCCGAGGGCGAGATCAGGTCAAGTAAAAAACGTTAAAAATAAAAAAGCTTTGACTATACTCTGTTCTGTTGTAAAGTACGCCAGAAGCAGCTAGAGCACGAAAGAATAGGTGGGGAAACCGAGACCTAGTGGAGTGTTTCTCCCTAACTAAGTTCTCTTGCCGTTTCCTGCGTGCTTTCCAACAAAACAGAGCACAGTGTCAAGGCTTCTTTATTTGTTTCATGATAAAGAATCCGTTAAATTCCCCATGCATCACTTTTTAGTTTTCAAAACAAACTTTCGGCACATGGTGCGACACCTTTAGCTGTGTGTTTTATACTCTCATAAAGCATGCATTTGCAACCAAACAGAGTTCGCGTTATATCTGGACTTTAATATAAATCAGTGCGCCTGACCGGCGAGCACATGACGTACGGATTTGACCAGATCTCTCCTTTGGCTTCGTCGACGGGAGATCTGGATGCGAAATTACGTTTATAATAAAACAAACAAAGAAATGCAATGGACAATCATTGTAATTCTAACATCAGCATGATCAGTCAAAGCATTTAATATATCTTACCCATGGTAGCCATTTCCCACAAAACAACTCCGAAGGACCATCTAAAGAACAATGTATGATCAAAACAAATAACCGGTAAAACATTTTAAAAATTATAATGAAAAAAAAAAAAATTCGTATGAGAGGAAGAGAGAAATTGCTCTTGATTGCCTGCCAATCGTTACATCAATATTTGCATTTTTTCCAAATGTATACGGAAAGGTCAATAGTCTTATTGCATGCTAACAGTTCAGATCGGTATCTTGGTATGAACAAATTAACAGCCTGCTGACCACTTGCCGTGATTCTATTCATCACGAGGTTCTTAGCGAAGCATGCAGTGACAGAGAGTTTTACTCAGTGAAGGGTAGCCCCTTAAATGGTAGTCATGGGAGGACGGAGAGAAATACAGTAAATAAGCCATTTGCGTGGTGACGTCTTTTTACTTCTAAGACCAGAATTCATTTCCTTTTTTCTTTGGTATTTAAATTTGGTAAACCCAATGGAG